CAACCCCCTGGAATAAAAAGTCCGGACCGCAGAGGTCGGGGAATAAGCCTTGAGGTTCGGCTCCCGTTAGGCCACGGGGCCCCGGTACAATGTTGCAGGGGCCGCCATGGTTAAATCTCCGGTCCATCCTCACCCCCTCTAATTTTACAATCGCCAAATGGGGTGACAACCAGAAATCCGCATTCCGCCGAATACTTCCTCCCGAAGAATTTCTGGACGCTTTCCAGGCGACCGGAAATTCTCAGTGGCGACCGGAAATTGGCGATTTCACTTGGGACTTCCTCGCCGATAAATTTCCGGTCCCAGTTATGTTGCTTGGAAATTGCGATTATGATTGGTACTTCTTGCCAGTCATGTTTACCTCTCGGGGAGCGACGATGCAAGGGGGCCTGCAGTGCCGATCCAGACTTTTTAATCCAGGGGTGGTACTACTACTACTACTACTACTACTAGGAAAAATAAAAATACTACCCCTGCAACTCCAACTACTACTGCTAATACGACGACGATTCCTGCGGAGACTACTACAATTACTGTTACTACTACTACTACTACTACTACTACTACTACTACTACTACTACTACTACTACTACCACGACTACTACTACTACTACTACTACTACTACTACTACTACTACTGCTACTGCTACTACGGCTACTACTACAGCTACTACTACTACTACTACTACTACCACTACTACAACTACTACTACTACTACTACTACTACTACTACTACTACTACTACTACTACTACTACCACCACGCAGAAAAATAATGAGGATGTTGGTAAGACGACTACGAAGGCGACACCTTCTGCGACGACTACCACTACATCTACCAGCACTACTACTTCTTCTTCTTCTACTACTACTACAACTACTACTACTACTACTACTACTACTACTTCTTCTACTACTACGGCTACTACTACTACTACTACTACTACTACTACTACTGCTACTGCTACTGCTGCTACTGCTACTACTACTCTACTACTACTACTACTACTACTGCTACTACTACTACTACTACCTCTACTACTAGTACTAGTACTAAACTACTATCTACACTACTACTGCCAAGACTACTATACTGCTACGACTACTGATGTCACTACTAGTACTATCTCTACAACTACTACCACTACTACTACTATTACGATCCTACTCTACGACTACTACTACTACTACTACTACTACTACGACTACTACTAACTATACTACTACTACTACTACTACTACTACTACTACTACTACTATACTAGTACTAGTACTAGTACTACGACCACGCCTACCACGACTACTACTACTACCACTACTACCACTACTACTACGACTACTACTACTACTACTACTACTACTACTGCTACACCTGCTACTACTACTACTACTACTACTGCTACTGCTACTGCTACTACTACTACTTCTACTACTACTCCTACGACTACGACGAACTATACTACTACTACTTACTAACACCTACTGCTACTACTACTACTACTACTACACTACTACGAACTACTACTACTAATACTATTACTACTACTAACTAACTACGACTACTAACTACTGATACTACTATACTACTACTACTACTACTACTACTACTACTACTACTACTACACTACTCTTCTACTACTTCTACTACTACTACTCCACTACTACTACTACTACTACTACTACTACTACTACTACTACTACTACTACTACTACTACTACTACTACTACTACTACTACTACGACTACTACTACTACTACTACTACTACTACTACTACTACTACTAAGACTACGACTACGACTACTACTACTACTACTACTACTACTACTACTACTACTACTACTACTACTACTACTACTACTACTACTACTTACTACTTACTACTTACTACTACTACCTACTACTACTACTACTACTACTACTACTACTACTACTACTACTACTACTACGAGTACTACTACTAATACGACTACTGATACTACTACGATAGAAACTACAACCACACCTACTCCTGCATTCATCCAGCCACGCACGCACGCACTCGCTCACCCCTCCCGCATTCAAGCACGAACGCGCTCGCTCGCACACTCCCTCAATCACCATCCTCCTCATCCTCACTCCTCCTACTCCTTCTCCAACTCCTCCTCGCCATCATCAACCACATTCCCCTGTTATCAACCACATTATCCGATTCGTCATGATCATCAGCACCATCACTGCCATCCTGATCAACATCATCATCAGCATCGTCACCATGAGCCCTCATCATCACAATGTTCCTCCAATTGTTCCTCCGCGTCATCCTCCGTATCACCATCAACACCCTCCTCTTCCGCCTCCTCGTCCTCCTCAGAATGGAGAAAGTGGGAGGAAAGAAAGGGGGGAAGGAGAGGGAGGGGAAGCAGGCAGAACATGGATGAGCAGGAGGAAAATAGGAGGACGGGGAGAGGAACAGGTGGTGTCGAAGAGGTCGGAATAGCTGAACTCGTTAAATATTAAAGTGCGTGCCATCCTTTTCTTCGCAAAACTGTCCAGAGGGGATAAATACGCTCACGGATCGGCACCAGAACGAGCATGTAGGAGAACGTCGACTTCACGACCGTGAACAGGATGGCGAAGATGAATATCCACTTGGGCCGCACGCCTGCGGTCTGCGGCGCAGATGCCAGGATGATGATGAGAAGCAGCAGCAAAAGGGGATGCGAAAATGGGGGGCAGCGGGGGGCAGGGCGGCGGGCGAGACTCGGAGCTTAACGAGAGTGGCCGATAGCTGGCCAACTTGGGCCCTCCCACCCAAACCACTACAAAATAATAAGAAGTCTATGCCTTCACTCAACATCAGCATGTTGCCGCCAACTTTGCAAAATGCGTGGCGGGAGTGGGACGGGGCGCCCATCGCGCGCGAAAGGCCCAATGCAACTTATGCCACGACCCAGCACCTCCACGGAGCAGATCCGAAAGGGTGGGGTTGAGGGATTTGCAAGGGATTGCGGTTCGATCAGAGACCACCCGAGGACACTGCAGGCACCGAAAAAAACAATGACAAACGGGGCAGTGGCGGGGGCCTGGGGTCCTCACCAACGTTGGGTTTCGGGGGTCTGGACAATTTACCAAACTGCTCTTCACAAGTGGGTCAAGCCTGCAGAATCCGCCGATCCGGCGTGTGAGTTTCAAGGAGTCTCAGCTACAGCCTCGAGGCTGAGCCTCAGCCTCTGGGGGGTTTGCCAGGGTGGCTCTGCCGGGGAAGGGGGGGTGGGGGGGGGGGGGTGCGAGTTTCCGGCGGATGCGTTTTTTGACACCCCTCACAAGGATCGTGGCCTCCGAGGGGGTTCCGAACTCGAGTACCACCCCTCCCGCACCAAGAGGCTCCGAGGAGGCCTCCAAGAGGCCCCAAGGGGCGCAGAAGAGGCCCCCAAGAAGCCCCAAGAGGCTCCCAAGAGACCCCCAAGAGGCCCTCTAGTGGCCCCAAGAGGCCCAAGAGGCCCCCAAGAAGCCCCAAGAGGCGCCCAAGAGGCCCCCAGAAGTCCCAGCCAACCACGAGATCCCAACCAGCATCCATGAGGCCTCTGACCCACCACCCACGCACGGTGGCGGGATAGGCCGACGGCCACTGGATAAATGCTGAGTGAGAGGAGGGGAGGGAAAAAGAGAGGAGGGACGAGGGCGAAGAAGGATCACATCAGTCAGAGCGCCCCGGATCGGCGGCACTGGCCGAAGGCCACTACAATATGTAGAGCACCCGTGACCAAGCTTTGATACTCGGCCTGGGCTTGCACAAACCCTTGGAGCTCAATAGGAGACAGATTAAGAAGAGCAGCACCTAACTTAGCTAGCCCGTCCACCTTTGTTGAGCCAGCTATGCTAAAAGAATCCGCATCATCGGTGGTCTCGCTTAAGACTATGTGGGCCTTAACCCTCACGAGACCAGGCCACGGCCCACCACCACGTCTCCCACCGATTGCACGCCAGAAAAAGACTGAAACGCGACCTCCCCGAAAGAGCCCTCGCAGGCTGCTTGGCTTCAGCAAGGAACCCCGAGTAATCAACCCGGACAGACTCAGGGGGAGTGTCGGCGGATGGAGGAGTTCTACGCAGAATCGAAAAATGGCCAAGCCACTGTGCTCGGTATCGCTACCAATCTGGAAGAACTGGTTTGGGAACGGACTGTATACCTCGCACAGCCACTTCAGAGTCAGTCATGGAGACCATCCCGAAGCCAGCGCGGGAAATCTCGAGCCGACCACCTTGGAAGCACGAACCATCGGAGAAAACTTTCACAGGCGCCTCAAAACAAAATGGCTCTACCTCCTGCCCGTCAGGGCCGATGAATTTGAGCATATAGCCAGTCAGGCACTGGCTGCGACATATCAGGCGCGGTAGGTCACAACCTCGAGAACCATAAACAGCTTGGTCCAGCACGCCAGACTTGCTCCAAAAACTCAGGACCAAAATGCTCAGCTCTCCTTTCTTCAGCCTCTGGAGCAAAACATCCGTACATTCGATGCCAGGAGGGCTCTGGAGCTGCCGTGCATAGAGGGCATTCTCTGTCAACGCGATAGCCCCAACAAGCCAGAACTTCTCCAGTAGGTAAAGAGCCAGACAGCACCTGCCGTCCTCCTCCTCCTCCTCCTGTTCCTCCGCCTGCGCGTCCTCGTTTATTCAACCGCATCGTCCACCTCTTCCTGATCCTCCTCCTCCTCCACAATTACACAATATGAATACTACTCTCCTCTCTCCCCTGATGACGTCCGGAAAATATCCGGCCCCCCTCCGCGTATTGTTTTCTTGTTGTTTACAAAGGATTCCCGTGAAATGGGTTGTCGCTCGGGTTTTTTTTTAACTGTTGCTCCCGCTGAGACGTTGGCCCATTTCTGCGCCTCTGGTTGTTCCAAATCGTGCTCCCACTGCAGCGCGGGCGTTTTCGGCCCTTCCAGATTGGCCCCAAAATCTACAACAATGCCCAGAAAAAAACCATGGGAAGTGAAGACAAATTCGGTGCCCATTTTTTGATTTTTGGGGCCGCAGAGCCCCCCCCCCACTTTGCGGCGTCGTCTTTTTCAGGAAGTATCAAGCGAGAGCCCCGTTTTTGCTTTGAAAAGGCGATGTTGGAAGCAGAGCCAACGAGTGCTCTCCACCAGCCCCGCCCGGTGTGGAGCTTTTCGGGGAGCCCAATGAGCTAGAAATTGAGCTACGATTCCAGACTGGCCCAGACCTCTCGAAGACGATCCACATGCTGTGCGGTGTTGCGTTCTGTGCCGATCTTCGATGGCATGCTTTGCATTGCAATGCTTTGTGATGCAATGTTTCACTGCGCAATGCCACGCCCTGCTATGGCATGCTACGCTTTGCCGTTCTCTTCTACGCCATGCCATGCCGCGCTCTACCATGCATCGCGTACCCTCTCGCGATCATTGCCCTACTCGACATCCGACTGTGCGAATAGAGAGGATTATCTACGCCATGGTATGGGATGAGAGGGAGGGGCAGGACGTCAGATATGACGCAAGCGCCTAGCTTGTCCTGCTCCTCCTCCTCCGCCTCCTCCTCCTCCTCCTCCTCCTCCTCCTCCTCCTCCTCCTCCTCCTCCCTCCTCGTCCTCCTCCTCGTCCTCCTCCTCCTCATCCTCCTGTGAGCACTGATAGCAACATGGTAGCACTTGTAGCACTGTGAAGCGTGTCCGTGCGAGCACAGAAAACACGCGCATGGTAAAAAATGCGGCCCAACCCCCAAAAATGAGACCCCCCGGAAAAAGTAAACCGCCAACCTTGCGCCCGTGAGCTCCTCACTGTCAAGAGGGCTGGGCACGATATCAACCTCGCCTTCCAGGCGAGGGCCCTCCAAGGCGGTTCAAAACCGACGGGCTGGCATAAAGAGAATAGCCCATAGCTGGATGAGCCCACCAAGAGGGTTCAAATCCTCCTGCACCTTCATTCCTGAGTCCGCCCATCCCTGTAGCGGTCTGGACGTCCAGACCTTTGCGAGTCACCCAAGGTGGGTGACTCTGGAGAAGGTGAGGGCAGTCCCCGGCACACATCCGCGCTGCAGTTTCCGACGCTCACTGCTGACGCGGGAGGGGGGGGGGCATTCACCCCTGCCAGGGAGCCACCTTTCGTCTGCTGCCTCACTCGGTCCTGTTCCGTGAGGCAGAGCTGCAGGAGTTTGAGTGCCCCATCCCCATGTTATAGCCCCCACAGAGATTACAAAAAACAAGTGGTTTCTTACCGTCATCAGTCCACCCCATGCTTAGGGAATGGTGAAGGGCTCGGCGCTTGTTAATAGCCTCTGCGAGGGAGGAGGGTACTCTTGTGAGCAAGGCCTCCTGCATTGAGGAGCGACCCTTTTCAAACAGGAGATGCAACGGTAACCCTTGCCAGTCCAAGTGGGCGAGTGGGAAGAGACAAACGGGCGGGGAGGAGGGGGTCGTGGAACCTCGGACAAGGGACCAAAATACTCACGCGACAGGGAGGCCAGCTGGCCAGAACCCTCCCTGCACCCGCCACGAGCTCAACATGTTCTTCCAGGGCCAGCTTGCAGTCCGCAAGTGAACAGAGGTGAACGTCGTGCTTCCCGGCGGCCTGCTTTGCTAGAATGTCCGCCATCCGATGTCCTAGGATTCGATATCGGTCAAAATCGCTAATCGCATCTTCGACGCTGCGGTGCGCTTTGACATGTGAGAGCCACAGCCTCCTCCTCCTCCTCCTCCTCCTCCTCCTCCTCCTCCTCCTCCTCCTCCGCGTCCTCGTTTCTTCCCTGCACCGTCCTCCTCTGCCTCCTCCTCCTCCTCCTCCTCCTCCTCCTCCTCATCATCATCATCCTCCTCCACCTCCCCTTCCTCCTCCTCCTCCTCCACCTCCATCATCATCATCATCATCATCATCATCATCATCATCATCATCATCATCATCATCATCATCATCATCATCATCATCCTCATCCCTCCTCCTGCACCTCATCCTCATCCTCATCCTCATCCTCATCCTCATCCTCCTCGTCATCGTCTCGTCATCACCATCAACCATATCATCATCATCATCAGCTCATCATCATCAATCATACTCATCATCGTCGTCGTCGTCGTCGTCCGGTCATCCTCCGTATCATCATCATCATCATCATCATCATCACCACCACCACCACCACCATCAATCTCATCATCGCCACCACAACCATCATCAGCATCACAGCAGCATCATCATCATCATCATCATCAGCATCCATCATCATCATCATCATCATCACATCATCATCATCATCATCCTCATCATCCTCTCATCATCATCAGCAGCATCATCAGCATCATCAGCATCATCAGTATCATCATCACCATCATCATCAGCACCATCATTATCAGCACCATCATCATCATCATGATCCTCATCATCATCATCATCATCATCATCATCATCATCATCATCATCATCATCAGTCATCATCATCATTAACCTCATCAACAGCATCATAATCAGCATAATCATCATCTGCATCATCATCATCATCATC